AAGTACAGGCTTTTTACCATCCTACCTTTTAAAAAAAAAAAACAATTTTGGGTTTTTATTATCCACAAGCCATTATCTTAAAAACAACAAAAAACAAAGACTATTTCCCTTTGTGTTTATTAGATCTACACTTCTATCACTTCCTGAACACTGGACCTTTTAATTAAATTACACCTGTTTGAGATTTAAATTGTATATCAAGTACAGAATATATAATCCACCTAAATAGCCAACTATGATACTAGCAAGCAGAATTTAAATGTAATTCACCTTAAATTGTACGCAGCACCAAATATAGCACTTAAGCAAAGTGTAAATACAGTGTTTTACATGGTAAAACTGGGACAATTATATTATTACATTATACAAATATATTATTAGTGATGCACCAATCCAATACCTGGATCAGATATCGGCTCTGACTAATCTGCTGGATCAGATATTTATTTATTTCTTTCCTTTTTCTGTTTATTTGTTGATAAATAATATAAAGCAGTGATCCCCAACCCCAGGGCCCCAGCCTGATACTGTTTTGTGTGTCATTGATACCATAAGAAGGCAATAAATTACTTCCATTATATCGGGCAGATTTATTTTTTATTCTAAATGGCTTGACAAATGACCTGTTTCTTTCCGTTTCATCCATCTTTGTATCAATTGACGTATGTTGCCCACAACACCATTGGTCATGTGGTGCAGTATGTGGTGCAGCAAAATACAAGGTTCCTGCTGATTGACTGCTATTGTGAGTAGTTAGCAGGTGGTTTCCATGCTAGTGGTTTTTGTGGTTTCTTATTTTACGATGACTATCTGCAGCTCCTCCAGAGTCATTTTGCTCCTCTTGCATGCTTCCCTGATGAATGTTCCTTTACCCTGCCAGTCAGTGTAAGCAAGTAATGATAGATTTGCATTTAATGGATTGAGCATAAATATTTCTGCAAGGCACTGTACTAATATGCACTGTGTTCTTGCCAGAAGTGGAATATGACTCACATATCAGGACAACCCAGATGCTTTTAAGGCTTTTTTCCCTAAATCATTCCTCTCAGACAAACAAACCTAACTAATCCCAGCAATATGTAACATACCTGAGCTTATGCTCCACTATAAAATTTAAAACTAAAAAAGCTCCTTCTGTTCTCTCCCAGGCCCTGCCTCCTACCACCATGGCTCTGAGCATCTACTGCACCTCTATCACTGTCTTCTTCATCCTTATCAAGCTGGCCAACTACCGGCTGCATATTATGTTCGATGAGGGTGAGGCAGTGGTCCGCAGCAGCCTCTCGGACCTCAGCAAGGCTCAGGAAAAGAAAAGCAATGCCTCAGACTCCTGCCAACCAGCCAGCATCAGGTATACGCAGAAAAAACAGATACCTATTCTACATCCATGCCTTTTTATTATCTGAGTGCCACAGACTGGAAGGGAATCCGGTCTTAAATCTTGGCACAAAATACATAGTTAGGCCTCAAACTTCATTCTACTCAATGTTTATCGTTATTTTTCCATCCTGTTCATTTTTTTCAATTAAATTAGCTCCATAATCACACTACCTCAGCTTCATTTCTAGAATCTCAGTGCAGTTTCTGGCATATTTGCAAACTAATTTTCATGATTTCCAGTCAGCCAGGCTGCTGAGACGTGCTCTCTCTGCAGAGGGCTTAATAAAGCGATATCCATCACTCCTTCCTCTCTGTATTACTCCGATATATTGAGATTTGATGAAAGAAGTTGAAACACAGATGGGTTTTATGCTTCAGCCTCTGTAAAAATCGTTCTGTTTTAGCTTTGAAAGCACGAGAGGAAAAAAACACATCACTTTCTGTAAAAGTGAAGCAGTGATTTATGAACTTCCACCTGAGTCCACATTGTCTCACTTCTTCCTGTTTCCCCGATTAGAAAGAGCAGCACTGTCCCAGACAGCGTTGCTATGACAACGCTGGCCCGCAAGCGTCCCAGCCCAGTGATCCAAGTGACAGTGAAGCAGACAGAAACCGACCCAGGACTGATCGGGGTGGTAAGATGGGCTATTTGAAATAAAAAACAAACCCTGTGCTGACCCGCCTCATGGCTACTAGAGGAATTTTAGCGAGTTTTTTTTGTCCCATTCTTCCTTCAGGACTGCTCAAAGTCAGACGAGGTGAAATCTGCAGAAGGTGACCGCCATCTTTCATCAGGTTTGAACACAAAGACCTTTACCTGTTACCTTTTAGAGGAGAAATCAGGTTTTTGCCAAGAAGATGTTCAATTAAAATATGCTTTGATCCTTCTGCACAAAAGAACTGGTTGTATTTTTTCTAGAAACATTCTAGGTTATTTGTTATTGTATATATTTAAAAAAATATTTTGTAAATGTGTTAGCTTTGTGAATTTCTAAGATTAATATCTGCACATTAACTTTTTCTTGATAATCATTTGTAGAAAATTATTTTAATTTAGTCTTTTCACAATAAAACATACAAAAAAAAAGATGTTTAACAGTAAGAAAAACCTCCAACACAACCAGGCTCAGTGTGAGCAGCCAACTGCCATGCAGACAGAGACAGACACACAGAAACAGCATAGAAATCACTGATCTATAAATATTTTTAATGTTTTAGTGTAGAATACCCCCATTTATGGCGCTTTCTGGGAAGGAAACAATTAAACGAAATTTATTTTTTTTTTACACTGGTGTAAACAAAATGACAAATAAAATCAGTCTAAGTCTAAGCAATTCAGGTCTTAGCCAGTTTTCATGTTCAAACGGATGAAAGAGAGCACATATTGATAGTAAGAGTAAAAACTAAACAGATGCATATCTAGCAAAGAAACAGGACTAAACACTGAAAAACAGGCCCAACTGTATCATCGATAATTGAAGTTGCTGACCCACCATCTAGGACATCATCATGGTTAAACAGAAAAACCCATACCATGTGTATCTGCTGTGATGAGAGAAAAGTACACACAAAATGAATAAAGTTAAGGTAACAAATAATGCCGAACCGGACAACAGAAACCCAATAAATATTAGTTACAACCTAATTTTTGATGTGGAGGATGAAGATGTTACCAATTTCTCTAGGTTTCTACAGTTTTTACCCTCACCATCCCCTTCACTCTGCGCTTTCAAAAGAAAAATCCCCCTCCTACATTGTGAGTGGCAGCAAAAAATAAAAAACGTGTGCCACTGTAAACACCCATGTTTAACTGCTTATGAAAATCTGTTCAACTATAAATAGAGAAATGCTTCAGATTGTTTTGATAAATGGATTTAGTTCTTGAGTTATTAGTTATATATAGTTAGTCATTCTATAAATTTTCCCCTCCACTAAATAAATCTACTTGAATTAAATGTTTGGCTTTTTCCTGTAAAAAACGATGCTACTGTAATAAAGCATCTATCTGCAACTGTGTCTATCATAATACATGTAGCAAGAAATCCAATTAACTTTAAGGATTTACCTGGCAGTATTCCCCACTTTTTAAGTGTGTTTTGGGTCGGAGTGAATAACAGGGAGTTTCTAACATATATCATGTTAGAAAAATAAATTACTTTGTCTTTCTTTGGCACCAATGTCCCTAAGATTACGAACATGTGATGACAGATCAGAATTTCATTAAACTTAGGTGAATGAATTGCACAAACATAGAACTAAAAGGACATGATGGATCAATGCCACCATATCCTATAAAACTGGCTAATGTCATCATAAAAGACCTGTTTCCATCAAGATAATGATGCAGAAGGACAGGTTTCATCAACATATTTTATTTGAAAAACCACTTTAGAAGTTTAGCCTTGAAACAGGGCAGTAGTACCTGCAAAGAAAGATGATTTGAGTGCATTGCATTTATCTCTGCTGGCAAAACAGATAGCCTATTGGAGATAATAAAGTTTATCTTGATCTTTACAGCTTTATGAGATCAAAGGATAAAAACATGTCTGGTTTTATTTTCCCAGCCGAAATGTAGCCTTGCTCATACAGCTTGTCTCACATGCTGATAAAAAAGACCCACCTTTACATCATTGAGAGCTGCTTTTAGATCTATCTGCATGTTATTAAAATAAGATAAAAATAAAAGATTTAATATCCATATTGAAGTGTTTACAGCGAACAGAATAGATGTGCTTTAATCAATGTTTTCTTTGTGTGTTTAATGTATTACAATGGAAAAAACAATTATGGAAACAGCAAAAATTAAACCAGTGTACTTCATTTCACAAAAAGGCTTTTATGCTTGGTCGAGGGTTTTCCTGATTTTTTAAGAAAAAAGAAAAAAGTGTGTTAAAGAAGAGATTGAAACATAATACAAATAAGTTTTGATGTAGTTAATATTTAACTTGCATAACTGATCAGCTGTTTCCGCTGCTGCAGTCCGGCACGGAATTCAAACCTTAGAACTGCATTTCTCTCTTGATGTTCCTGGTTTGCATAAACCATCACTAATACTAGCTGACATTATAAAAGTAAGTACTACTGCAGCACATTTAATAAAACCTCATTACTAATCTGTGGTCTCCACTAGTTTGCTACTTCTACTTCCTGTTTCTTACAGCCAAGCGTAACATCGACGTATGACGACATTATGCGGTCAATTCACTCATTAACCAAAGATTGAGGAAGGCTTTGTGGGGCCAAGTGGGTCAGATCCTTCAGTTCAAGGGGCTTGCTTTGAGTTGCTGACTTAATGATGCTCAAATCCAAGACGGATTAGGAGTGCAGAATGACTCGCTACAGGAGTGCTCAGTCGGGATTTATTCCCAAACCAGCAATAATGAAAAAAGCATTTACTTTTTGAACCAACAGGAAAATGTAACTACAAAAGTCACTGTCTAATTCTAAGATGGTCCACATAAAAATGTAAAAGATTGCACAGTGACATTACCGTAGAACTCATAGGCCCGGTTTATACAGTTTATCTGTTTAAAAAGGTGATTTTGGGGTGAGTTACACTTTAAACATTTATCTGTTTTTAAGCGATTTTCTTGAAGCCATCTTCAGAGGTCAGATCAACTCACATCAGCCTGACTTAAATTACACATTTTCTCATCATTTCCAGCTTTGTTAGGGACTACAAGAGATTAGCTTCTACTTTATGCTCTTATTGCAAAATAAAAAATATTCACTACTTATTCAATTTCCCTTTGGGATTAAAAAAGTTTTTTGAATTGAATTTAAAACATTTCTAAACACAAGTCAGTTACATTTATGCAAGAAATTATTAATGTGGATCTTTAGAAAAATATTTGTCAATATCTTGCTGATTAGTTGAAGGTTTTATTACATCACTTTGACCAGCAGGAAGTATTTTCGGAGTAGTTCTGTCCTCTAAGCCTCTCTTTTCCTCTTCCCTAATGGGCAGGTTTCTTTCTTAGACAATGCCGCCTCACAACTTCCCTTTCTGGAAACACATCACTGTTGTAAATTATGCTCTGTAAAACACAGTGAGATAGACAGTTAACCAGCTCACAGGCCCTGCTCACTGTTTCCAGTAAATGTATGACCAAATGCATTGGTAATTAGGAAGAGCTCAGTCAGCTGGCTTTGAAATAGGGAAACAAACACTCTGGTGCATTACATCAGATGGATGCATATTTGTTTAAAATGCTACAGTTTGTTTCTGATTTTAAAAAAAATCACTCATTCTACTTTCAAAGCATCATTCTCCTGGAAACGCTCAATCATCACCATACATTTTGTTACAATTTAAGTTTCACTTGCATGGTGTAATTAAAAGCAAAGCACAGTGGAAAAATAAATAATGTACTTTTGTTCAAGACCAAAATTCTCTTGGCTGAAAACACCCTAGATATCTTAAACCATCTTGTTTGTGTTTTAAAACTCCACTTAAGTGCTGAGTAACGCAGAAAAGCCCACTGAGTGCTGCAAAGAGTATGGATGAATAAATGACTGAATAATGTCCAAAAGCATCACTGCAAATTCCTCTGTTTTTCCTTGAAATTGTTGCACTCATAGAAATTGCAGGATAAAAGTGGGCTGTAAAAGCTGATTTATTTTCCTTTAATTTTTAGGACATGCTGAGGAGCACGTTGTGGAAGGAGACTCACAGCCGCACCCTGAACTCTCCCCCGATGATTTTTCCAGCCCCAATCCGGAGCAGGACGCCCCGCTGCTGCAGGCCCAGCAGAGGTCCCCGGCTCGAACTGAAAGGGAAGAAACAGAGGTTACTGAAACTGGGGCTGATGTAGAAGAAGTCAGAAAACTTCAGAAACCTTTGAGAGTTAAAAGTGGAGATCAGTTGGAGGAGAATAGGTCTCCAGCAAAAAACTTTAAAAAGGACAGAAAAGAAGAAAAGGAATGTGAGGATAAAGATGATGCAGATAGGGAGACAGTGGATGAAGGGTTTCCCACTTCCAAAGGGAGTGAAGATGAGAGCGAGGAGGCCAGCGAAGGCCAAAAAGAAAACTCAGATGCCAACAACAACTCATTGGAGACCCAAAAGGATGAGCAGGATGAGCTCATAGAAATCCCAGACTCTCCTGTTCAGGTGGGCTGCGCTGCATAAGAAAGAGCCTCATGTTGTCGTATGAAGGAGAGTGAAACAAAAAAAGCAAAATTTCCCTTCTCTTTTTAATTCTAATTAGGCTGAGCTAGAGGAGGATGAAGAGGCCTACTGTTCTGATGAGATCGAGGTGGTTCTGGTTGATAACTCCAGCCCCGGTTCAGGACCAGCTCATCTGGACGACAGTGACACGGTGAAGATCATCATCACCATGAGCTGTGACCCTCAGACAGCGGCTCAGTTGGAGGAGAGCGTCAAGCAGAGCTTGCTGGAGAACGCAAAGGTCAGAAACCCATTTGACTCGTTTCTGCACTGAGTCTAAAGATCACGGTGGAGGAATGCATTTTTAAATTACGTCCGTAAAAACCTATAGATTCAATTTGCATTAGCTTTTAAAGTAGAATGTGTTTTTTTTTTTTTTTTTTAAATACCCTACCTTTTAATTCTTTCTCAAATAGCTTAACTTTAGTTGAAATTTACTTAAACATTCAGAATCGGAAAAAAGAGAGGAGAAAATTAGGATATAATTAAAGGTAATTTAAAAGTGGCTTTTATATGTAAACAAATTTATAATTTTAATACTAGATTTAATATAACCCTCTAATACTGAGCCATATCTTAAATCTAAATGCACTTCATTATGGGTGGGTCATGCCTTTCCAGACCACAATCCAAATTTTAGGAGATTTTTTTCAAATTCATTTTGCAGATCACTTTGCTGATAACAAATGATTTTTATGTGTCAAGCACAAATTTCTAAACTGTCATTAAATAAAGCATAGATTCATGTGAGGGGGTTTGATCCATTTAAGGCTTCTTGCATGTGACATTTCCCTGTTTGTCTCCTGCAAGGCTCAAAAGGATGCAGGAGAATGTCACATCAAGATCCCTGTCATCACCTTCGATTCCCCGGAGGAGGAGTGGCAACAGGAGCAGATGGAAGGAGAGGAGGCAACCGGCTTGGAGAATGTCCCCACACCCAGACAGCAGCATCAGATCACCAGCCAAAGTGAAGAGTTTCACTTATGTAGAGAAACCATCAGTTCTGAATCCAACACGCTGGAAGGCGCCGATCTGGAGCAGGAGCAGCGGGGGCTGCTGGTGAACGAGGACAGTACGCCGAGCCCGCAGCTGACAAACGACAACAGCTCGTCAGGCATCGATGTCCACTCCCATCCTGATGACACGGACCCTCTGGAGCCTATTGTGGACTCGCAAGGATTCCTGCGTCTGCCTCCGACGGTCGGTCGCTATGGACCGGGCGGAAGGACCCACATCCGGGGCCTGAGCATGGACAGCGGGAAAGATGCCGTCCTCCTCTCAGACCGCTCCCATAACACGGTATGTTAAACCTCTCTTCTTCCTCTGTTTATGTCCTCATCGATCTGTAAAAACAGCATTCATTATCTCACATTTTTGCAGACCACAATGACCAGCTCCAAATCCGACCTGGAGGCAAAGGAAGGCCAGATTCCCAATGAATCCAACTTCTTGGAGTTTGTTTCATTATTAGGTTCCCTGAGTATGAAAGGGGGAGGGAGGAGCACCCAGGAGGAGGAGGAGAAGGAGGGCAAACCAAAAGTGGAGGAAGAAGAAGGTTAAAACGCCTAATAAAGCATTTACAATCAGCTGCAGATTTTCCTCCAATTACTTATAAAGGAAACGTCTAATAAAAGTATTTCTTTGTATTGCCTGGGATGATCTCCTTTTATATCGTTCTCAGAAAATCAGAGTGCAACTCCTGGTCCAACAACTACAGATACCAGCACCGAGAACAAATCAGAGCGACCCAAGCCACCCACCAGTCTCCCAACTAACCCACTTCAAGCTATAAAACCTACGCACATCCCAATAGTCTCTCCTGACAGGTAAGCCCTTCTTTAAAGTGACTCTTTAAGTGTAAAAATACCAGTTGGATTTACTCCCTTTTTTGCAGTCCACAAACAGACAGGGAGAAGGATCCGGATTACGACTCCCTCCCATCACAAACCTCCCAGTCTGAGAGCTCCATGTTGCAGGTCATCTGCAGACCTGAAGCTACCAATAAAGAAGAGGCCTACACCTTCCACACAGTGCACAGTGAGCCGTCTTGTTTGCATCTTTACCATGTTTGTTTTTTTATTTAAATATAGAAGAAAAACTGACACTGTGGCAGTCAGTGTGTTTTACATTCAATTCCTTAACCTAAATGAATCCCCTCTTATCAGTAGCTACACACCATTCATCCAAGCGGAAAAGGCCTGTTATGCTTAATGTGTCTGTTTGTCCAATCAGGAGACAGACCTCGGAAACTGTACGCAGAGAGAGCCCTCAACCTGCCGCTGGGAGCAGAGCTCATTACAGGCAACATGTGGTATGCAGACACTCTGATCTTCCTCCAAGCCTTCTTTGCTAACATAAGTGTTCACCATCATTTTGCTTATATTTCTACCTGCATGTTTTCAGCTGTTATCTCCTGTGTTTAAGTCATGTTAAGATATTTACCTTTCCCGTCGTTTTTCTTCTTTTTATTTCAAACTTTCCATATTTCCTTTCACAGATAATAATACCCTGCAAACTTTGTGAAATTATCGCCACAAATTCCAGTGCATTCAAGTGGGATTTTCTGTAATCGTCAGAAAATAATGCATCAAATAAATATTTGCCTGTTGCTCTTTGCAAAACAGCCAGAGCTTGGGAAGATGGGATGGAGAGCATGCATTTGGTAACCAAAGCTTTTCTGTAGCCCAAAAACGATCATGTTAAGATGACTCGCTGGCCACAGAAGCCTATTTTTGATTAAAATGCTAATATTTGTGTAATTTTTTTTATTTTCTTATCTGCTCAACATTCCACTGAAATTTATAAAACGGTCTGATGCTTGTAGAAAAAAAGGAAATATGCAGAGATTACAGATTGATACAAACCTTAAAAAGAGTTGAAAATTGCTTGTAAATTCAGTGAAAATCATTCAATCAATTAAGTTCTTTATTGTCAACTACATTTTGCATTGTATTCAAGCTTTCAGTTTCAGTACAGACTGTTCATCACATACATAGTGCTGCCTTTATCTCTGTGGAAAGATAGGAGCCACTTTTGGAGGGAGAGTGGAATAAAAAACACATTTCACACCTTATTCTTGACAGGCTACAGTTTGAGATATCAGAAAAAAAAACACCTCAGCACAAGAAAAGCACATTTAACACGAGATAAACATTTCAGCAGAAGGAAAACATAGGAAGGCTGGAGCCACATGTGAGATAATCTGGTATTTTAGCATTAGTTGTGTGCGTGGCGGGGATGCCGGCAGTTCTGGGCCCTTCTGCTATAACATCCAGGGGAGTTTTGATAAGGCCGAAATCCAAAAAAATTTTTATTTTGAGAGCAAGCTACACAGAATCTCTTTTGTCGCTAGGCTCCACATGGCAAATCCAATATTCTGAATGTGTTAGGCTTTACACCTTGATGTGGACAGTGCACATCCAAGATTTTATACCATCTCACCTTTTACTTCAACCACCGTAGCCAACTTGCATTTAATAGCACCCAGCATACGGCTCAGCTCACAGTCCTGCTTGCTCACAGCCTTTGTGATCATGTCAACCGCTGCCGGCAGCCTGATCAATGCCCAAATACCAGAAGACATCCTCTGTAACTGTAGATACATCAAGTATCCTCCAAATCCAAACAGAAGAAATCCGAGCATCATAAATCCAAACATCCATACATCTGATCTTTCCATTCTGAGCTGTGGACACTGAAACTATTCAATAGTAGTTTTGAATGTGTGTTTAGGCTCATTGTATTCCTGGAAGGTAACTTTCAGTCTTTTCCAATCTCCTACATCCCTCAGCTTCATGCTGTCACCAAGGTTTTTTACAGTGGAGATTTTAGGTGATTTCTGTTGTGAATTTGTACCCATTTATTTGCATGTACGCCGCAAAGTTTTGATCCCCTCTGACAGGAGCACTTCTATCCTATTGGCACCTTTACTGCTCTATTGCTTCATATTCCAACTTTCCCCATGCTACTTTTCTAAAAACCCTAGATCTAAGGATTGCATTAATGATGGTTCTCCTATTAACAGATTATTCCACATAGAATCCACTCTTGGAAACCAAGTCCAGTGGATTTTTTTGAACTTTTACGGAATGACTATGACCTGGATGAATGAGAATCTTCATCAGCACAATCCACTCTCTTATTTGTAACTTCCTTTGAGATGGAACAATTAAAGATTAAAGCAGTGAGAATACTTATACGATGGGTATCTTTACAGCCGGCTTATTAAGTGACTTTTTTGTGTGTATCTTCAGTGACCTGCTGTCAACTTCTTCCAACTCAGAGGGTCAGGATGGTGCAGTGGGTGCTCACGCCGACTGCCCTTTCCAGCGACGCATCATTCCTGCTCACAGGCTGCGGCCACGGAGGACGCACCCAGAGATCTTTCCGGTCTTTATCTTCCTCCTGTTTATTTCATTATATTTATTTAAGGAAAAATTTAAAATGTTAGAATTCTTCCTCCTGTTTATTTAATTATTTTTATAAATATGGAAAAGAGAAAATATTACAATTCTTCCTCCCTTAAATTTAAACTGAGCTGTACTCACAGTAACACTTCATCCTTTTATTTTATATGTGAAAAATGTGGGATAGATATAATCAGTTAATTTATAGACAGCTTATAAGATGCTACATGTTCCTGTGCTTTTATATCTGCTCACTTTCTGTGTCCACCTGTTCTAAAGGTATTCAGTGATTTACTAAAACATGTCAGTGGGGTTGCTACACAGTCTGTGGGTTATTAAGGTTTGGGAAAATAAGAGTATCTGTATTTCAGGACTTTTAATGTTCTGTCTGAATGATGTGTTTTTCTTCACATCTTCATTCTTTGCTTCTGTTTCTTTCCTTCTCACTTGTGTTGTTTTTTCTTTACCTCCTGGTTACCATCCCTTTTATTGCTTCCTTTCCATGAGTGCCTTCCTGTCCGTCCTTGTATGCGTTCCTACCTTCTTTCTGCATGTCCAAAACCATTTTGTATCCTTTATCTTCATACACTATATTTTTTCCTCCCTCCTTTCTTTCATTCTCCTTTTGGGTATCCTTCATTCTTTTGTCTTACCATAATTTCTTGATTCTTCCCTTTTTCACCATCGTCTTATTTCAACCCCTATCTTAATTTTCATTGTGTGCTATTCTTTCTTAAGTTCATACTTTTAATTTTTAAATTCTTTTTTGTCCTCTCTATTCTCCCTACTTTCATATTTTCTTCCCTGTATCCTTCCTCACTTTGTTATGTTGTTGTATTCTTTCTTTCCTTTATTCCTTATGTTTTTCCTTTTTTTGTTCATTCCTTTCTTCCTGTCTCTATTTATTGCAGGTCTTATATATAAAATATGTCAGCTTTTACTTTAAATCCTAAAATTATCATGAAGGTCTGAGAACTCTAGAAAGTTGAGTCCAGAATCTGAATCTGAAAATGTGAAGCGACCTGAAAGTGAACTTAAAGAAACCAAACTCTGTTACAGTTTAAAACATTTCTTAAAATGTGCAGCACTGGAACATGTTGATCTGTTAATGCTCATGACAGAATAATCATGATGTAATTCCTCAGTGTGTTTATGCCTTTGTTTTTCACATGAACATGAAGAGAAGGGTTGCTTGATGGGATGTATTGTTTGTCTTTGCAGGAGGAGGACTCCTTGGACGAGTCTTCAGAGACTTCCACACAGGAGAAGCCGACCAGGAAAGTTTATTATAAACTCCAGCTGCTTCCTGGGAAGTGGGTCAGCGTTTTGTACGATCGCCTGACGCTTCTCGCTCTATTAGACAGGTAACTTCCTAAACCTCCCTAATCAGATTTTCTACAGACATTAGTCTTTCTCCCGTAATCGGTTTGGTCGGTTGTGTCAATCAGCACCACTTCTGTGATCCTCCCCTCTTTATATGCATGTGCTGTTTTCTGAAAGAAACCAGGATTTTCTGGAGAACCTTGCAGCGGTCTTCATGGCCTTCCTGGTTTCCTTTTTGGGTTTTGTGCTTCTCAACCACGGATGCTTCAAAGACTTCTGGGTCTTCCAGTTCTGCCTGGTCATCGCCAGCTGCCAGTACTCTCTGCTGAAGGTGAACAACGCTGTAGATTTTTGCTCTTGTCGTCTCTGTCCAGGCCAGCTTTGTTTTTATATGTACAATGTCCCATTAGGACTGTGCATTCGCACTGCACTATATTCTAGGGTTAAATTATTACAAAACAGACAGATTAGGTTGCTAAAGGTTGGATTCATTCAGAAATATATTTCCTTCAGTATGTCTGCAAACTTTCTGGTACATAAATAATCGGGTCGGCTAATTCGAGCACTATCTTGCTCAGGAATTAAACTTTATTATTTCTGGCACCTTTAAAAATTTTCCTCTAGAAAACTACCGTTGGATCTTTTCATTCAGGCAAAAAATTGTCTCAGCAATAGAAACAAACTGTTGCATATCAACGAATACAAGTTAAAAAGTTAAAATACAAGCTTGGAACCAGTTATGGGGTACCACAGGGGTCAGTTTTGGGCTCTGCAATATTCATTATGTTTGTATGACTTCCTATTAAAAATGCTTGCAATATTAAAATGGGTTTTATTTGAAGGCAATGCGGATATCCTTCACCTATTTGGATTTACAATGATAGGATTTGTATGTTAAAATTTTAATTTTTTAAGTTGAATAAATCCTTTAAAAGCAAATTTAAATTTGAATCAACCAAGTCATATTGTTTGTAAATTCGAAAAAAGTTGCACAAGTAACTTTAACAACATTTAAAAACAGATTTTTGTATTTCATTCTTAAAATGATAAACATTTTAATTCCTAAAATGATAAAAATCAACATCAGAATACCTAATTTTATTTAGGAATCGAATACTCTAATAATGTAAAGAGTAAATCATTCAAATAATTTCACAGTAAGAGGAGAAGGATACAGTTTAACAGGTAAATTAAGTACAAAATAGTGTGAGCAATTTGGTCTGTGGAGTCACTTCTGGGTACAAAGTTAAAGAAAGAGTCAAAGGGAAAACATGTTGCATTTTGAAAACTTATGCAAAAGATTAACTGAGGTACAGAAAATTAGCTACTATTGCTGCTTTGCTCAGATGTTAATTTTACAACTGTTCAGGCCTGAAACAATTAATCGGATTGATGACATAAAAAAATCAATTTTTAAAATTCAACCAATTTCCTCTTCAAATAATTGTTAACAGCATACAGACTCTAAAGGAAGCTATTTGTTAAAAGAGCAACCAACTCAGAGCAGTAATAAAGACAAAACTACAGTTATTCAATATGTTTTGCAGTAAGGATGAAAAACCCTTCTTGTCTGTAAATATGAAACATTAAGATAATCTTGGTGGCATTCCTGAGGATCAAGTATTTTAAAAAAAAAACTGGTTTCACCATTTTTAATGTCAATAAATATCAGTTTTTAAGGTTCAAGCACTTCATTTAGGTCGTTTTTTTTCTAAGGGTATTTGTATCAATACATCAGGAAAGAAATTTTGAATCCATTACTGAAATAGTCAATAGCTGCAGCTCCATAACCGTTGCATTTTTCCTATCCCTTATTCAGAAAAATCATAGATTCCTCCTGTTTTTCTCTTGTTGCTTTTTGTGTTTAATGTTTCTTTTTAATCATAGTTGGAATTTTTCTGTGTTAACTTTTTGGCATTTTGACAGAATAATAGCTCAGATGTTTTATTAAAGGCCGATAATTTTAATGCAGTGTGTTCCCATGACATGGGCGGTTCTAGACAGGGGGCGAACCCAGGCTGCAGCTTCTGTTAGGGCTTCTGTACTGCAGACAATCCAATAAATAATTTTCATATGATGATATGCATTGGCACAGAAACTATAATTGATTGGTTTAAATATAATGTATTTGCACAAATATAATTTTTTAATTCAAAGCTTTATTTTAACAATGGTTTAAAAATAAATGTGTCACATTTTTGCTTTTGAGATAGGATCACAATGGCCTCCATGGATACATTAAATGATGAACTCTTGCCTTTTTAAATTCATTTTATTCTTTTGCTCTCTATTGGCTGTTCCTTGGTACTTTTTGCAGACAAACTTTATACTGTAAAGCAGCTTTATTGAACCTTCCTGAGCTGTTTAAACAGTAAAGCTTTAAGTGCATGTGTCACGCAGACCCAATGCAGTCAAAAAACAAAGCTTTGTTTGTTCTTCCAGAGCGTTCAGCCAGACGCTGCATCACCAACACATGTGAGTCCCTCGTTTCTTTCTTTGATTTAACAAAACACAAAAAAATGGTTAAAAACAAGTTTAAGAAACAGAGGTTAATAGTTACTAAAGATTCCCTTTCTGACATCATGCATCTTCAGGGTCACAACCAGCTGGTGGCATACAGTCGAGCAGCCTACTTCTGTATTTTCTGCTCGCTGATCTGGCTGCTGGAGCTGCTGCTGAGGAGGAAGGACCTGCCCGTTTCCACCCTCTATGGAGTCACCATTATCTGCTACGATGTCCTGAGCTTCGTTCGGGATCTTCTCGTCGGTAAGAAGGAGAGCATTTTAACACACTGCTGTCAGATAAATATACGGCTCATTTCCTTAGTTTTCAAATTCCTTCCCTCTTTATTAAATGGTTTCTATCTGCATTATTAAAGATGATTTGTTTTGTGTGTGAATCAGGTTTTACCTACTGTTTCCCTGTCGCCTTCCTGGTGGGCCTTTTCCCTCAGATCAACACCTTCACCATCTACCTGCTGGAGCAGATTGACATGCACCTCTTTGGAGGAACAGGTCAGTGATGGTGACATTTAAGTATTGATGTATTCATGTGGGTATTTCAAAGGGTTAGAGAAGCTGAAATAAAGAAATAAAGAGGATTGGTTGGTGAGATTTGCCCCAAACAGTGACCTCATATTATCAGCAGATTATAATTTACAATTCAATAATCCCAGAGACAAAAATCCCAAACTAAAAACCCTTTATATAACAAAATATAAAACCAACTCCAGTAGCTTGTTTATAAAGATTTTGTTGCACAGTTATGCACGTAAGGAATTATCTGTGGCCTTTAGAGTCATTTAGGAATCTATGCAATAGTTAGTTAATATTTAGACCAAAGTTATTAGTTAAGATAACAAAGTTCTAACCGTTCAGTATATGTTTATAATAAAAACAACATCTAAAAAATTAGGTTTAAAGGGACAGTATTTGCAGCTGTGTCCAAAAGGATTCTCGCCTTGATTGGGAATTATAAATAGAAAAGAACCTTAATTGTATTTTATTCCTAAAAGGGGTTTTAAAAACAGAATAAGAAGTATTTAAATCCCAAATACAAACATTGGCTTCCTGTTTTTATGTTCTATCTGTAACCTGCTATTATTAGGGAAGCAGGCTATTAACAACCCATGTTTATTTCCATCTCGCTGCTGCTGGGGAGGAGTGGTAATTTGTTTGTGTCCAAACAGTAGAGGAAATATACATATACAGTGTTCTGCATATGATATTGGTAAATATTAAGTTAGCAGCAATAACAGCTTTAAAAAAAATTCATTTGTTGCTTTCAACCAATATTTTGTTAAATAATTCATATCTAGATTAATCATTTTTTTAGATCATGCTTTACTTTTTCAAACTAATCAGTAAATGTTTCTGCTTCCCGGGGGAACAAATAACATAGAGAACCTTCCTTTAATGGCTAGACTGCATAAAGCTGAAATAATCTCATTCTAGTTTCTTGAATAGGAAAAGTTAATTAAACTACAGTTGGTTCTGAAGTAACAAAAGCTAAAAAGATTGTGGCTGAAATGAAGACCTGTATCATAGATTAAGTAATAATATTATATGAGTGGGGATCAAAATGTCTATAAGATGTTAGCCATTAAGAAATGGGGTCAGTAGGGAAGGGAAATTTAATGCATCTTTGTACTAGTTGGATAATATAATATAGCCAATGATTTTATGCTGTCACAGTAAGCAGTGTGGTGTAGATAATGTCTCCCACCCCATGCATGAAGCTGTTTCTGAACTGGAGAGCTCCTTCAGTGACAGCCTGCTGCACCCTAAATGCACCAGGGAGCATTATCACAGATCCTTCCCCCCAGCAGCTGTAGGACTCTATAACCGTCACTGTTCCCAACAACCTCAAAAAGTTGCTACATTTATGCTGATTTTTGCAGTTTCTATCTCAGTCACCTAAATAACATGCTGTTATCATTTTTGCACATCTCTGGTGTTGCTGTTATTTTCACATATCCATTACTGTAAAAATGTCCACGGCTGTATATTGATTAATTACTCTCCAGTTGCACATTATTTATATTGTAAAAACACTGTAAAAGTCTGTTGATTTTATACCACTTTTGCTATTATCTTTTGCTGCTGCTTTAACACCACAATTTCCCCATTGTGGGACAATATAGGGATATTCTATTCTATTATTCTATATTCTTATTGGGATGAGATATCCTGCAAGCTCACAGTTAGAGTTCTGCAGCAGAGACTTTCTGTTGGATTGTTTAAGTCTTGAGACAGTATCAGCCTCCACATCTGAGCTCCATCTCCACGTGGGGGTGGGGGTCTTTAGGCTTTGTCCTGCATGGCTTTGTTGCTGGTATGGAAAGTGTTTGAGTTTGGAACTGGCCACCCCTCGGTGTCTAATTTCTGATGTACCCTGGGAGTTGTGGTGGGTGTGTGCTGATCACTTCCACTCACAGGTGTATCTTTGCTACTGGAGTGGGGGTGGGATTTGGGCAGTTCCACTTCGGATCCCAGTTCCTCCTTTGGGTTCTAAAGTTTCAAAGAACTTTAGTATTAGAGAAATAACATCATGATAATACTCTGCTGGGGCTTTTTTCCTGAGGCAATAATACAAAAAAAAAACTGCTTTAATAAGAGCTGAATTGATTTAAAGGCTTTTTAAACATCTTTTCCAACAATGTCAATGTTAATGGGGTGTCTGTATATTTATAGGGTCCATATAAATATAGTCCTCTACTTGTAGCGATAAAAAAGAAACACACATCTTTTACCACTGAGAGATTTCCGTTAAAAGCAGGTTGTCTGAATATTTACAGGTGTTGCTCTGAAATCTTACTAGGACTGAATTAATGGACCCGTTGCCACGACAATGTAACCCAATCCCAGAATGGGGGGTTTATTTTACATTCCTTATAATAAATATTAACTCCATATTGTTTATGTGTGAGAAGGAATATGAGTAGTTATGACTGAGCTGAATTCTTGCTTTAATATGGGTCATCACTAGAATTATGTTCTTTAAATGGGTTAAAAATAGGCCTATGTGGGTCAAACTTATATAGGTCACTATGAGGTACTACTAACCCAGTTCCCTCCTTTGCAGAATTATCCATAAATCATATAGAGATGTTACCCACCTTATTTTCTCTGTCATTGTTAGTAAAAGCTGCTGAGTTTTTCTCATTTTTGAGGTCATTTGTGTGTCTCAGCTGCTACAAGTCTGATCTCAGCAATCTACAGCATCGTCCGCAGTCTGGTCGCTCTGTCTCTGCTGTACGGTTTCTGCTTCGGAGCTCTCAAGGTGCGTGACTGAAACAGCAAACCAACTCCGACCAGATTCAGTTTGCATTCTTATGCGTGCGTCTAATGCGTTTGCATTCTTTATGTGTGACTGCAGGAGCCGTGGGATGAGCAGCACACCCCTGCCCTGTTCTCTGGTTTCTGTGGCCTTTTGGTCGTGTTCTCTTATCACCTCAGCCGGCAGAGCAGCGACCCCTCTGTGCTGCTGTGAGTATTTATGTGTGTCTGTGTGTGTGTCTGAAAACACCGTCATGATGAGATAAGAGCACATAGAGTTTAGTGCTTTGATAATTTAGCTATTTCTAATAAATGTATTGGATTCTCTAAGTTAAAGCTGGGATGTTTTATTTTAGTTATTCTGAGTAACTTTATGTTTAATATGCATATATATTTGCTGTTCAGCACATTGACTCCTAATTGGCAATTCTACAGCCAAAACTTACAAAACATTCTAAAAGTGTTCAGAGAGAATCCTGGCTTACAGTTTCCATCTTTTGCAAAATTTCACATGCAGGGATTTAAGAAAAAAGTAAAAAAAAAGTGGCAGTTTGCTACATAAAATAACTGGAAACATGACTATTTTGGCGTCATCTGTTCGACTGTCCTTAATCTAGTACCGGTACTTTACTGCCCTGCTAAGGAGCATGTGTTCCTTTTTTTCGGATTTTATATGAACTTACCACACAAAGCACAGCATATTTGTGGAAGTAAATTATTCATACTTCTTTTAAATGTTCACATATTTAAAACATCGAGTTAAAATGAAAAAATTATTGAGTTCTAATAATCTAAAGAGTTTGTGCTGCTATTTTGTTTTTGCAACATCTAAGTCCTAATCGTTTTTAAGAATACCGTTAGGTTGCAAACAAAACCTGATGCCACATCTTCTTCTTTCCATTTCTAGATCTCTTATCAAGTCAAAATTAATGCCCGCACTGGTGGAAAGTGAAGAAGAGGAGGAAGAAGATGCAGAAATCAAAGACCCGCTGCCTGAGAAGCTGCAGAACTCCATGGTAACTATGAACAATGAGCGCAATGTGATGTTTGGATTATTACCAAGCTGCTGAATGCACAAACACACTCTGCATGAACTGAACAGAGCGGCTCACAATAATTGCAATCAGGCTATCAATGTACTAAATCACAGAGCGTCTGTGAATTGATCTGTAAAAGCAGGGCAGGCTGCGATAACCTCAGTGAAAGACAAAACAGCAGCATTTCAGTTGATTAGAGAATGTGATCACTATATAAACCCTAATTTACAGATTACAGATGTAGCCGGGATTCTCTTCGCTTTTCTCTGGCTTATGTTTCTCTGATCACCAATAAATTGAGGCTAATAGAGCCTGACGACACCTAGATCAGCCTGAAATATACAAGGAGATTAAGGGTAATTAGATCCTCCTTTCCTATAATCTGCAGAAGGAGATTCTGCTGTCTGATTTGGTGGTTTGCTCTGTCGCCTACATCCTGACCTTTGCCATCACAGCGAGCACCGTGTTCCTCTCCCTGAAGGTTAGGTTCTCACAGCTTTTTTTACCTTTAAACTTAAAGACATGAAGGATTCTGCATCGTATAACCGTCCCATTTTTGTTTGCTCTCCTTTAACCCACCTGCAGCCCTTTGTGACCATCGTGCTGTACGCTCTGGCGGGGACGGTCGGGTTCGTCACACACTACCTAATCCCCCAGCTGCGGAAGCATCACCCTTGGTTGTGGATCTCTCATCCAGTTCTCAAGACTAGAGAGTATTACCAGTTTGAGCCCAGAGGTCAGAAATGGGAGATTTTTGGAGCTCTAATGATTTATTTGAACTGTTCCTTTTTCTTTGTTTTTCTAATATATTTATAGTGTGTGTGTGTGTGTGTGTGTGTGTGTTTGTGTGTGTGTGTTTGTGTGTATACAAGTTCTGAATTAAGGTGGATTTTCACCATTTTGGATTTTCAAAAACTGAATTATTTACATGCAGCTAATTTCCCTGTGCCTAGTTAACAGCATGTTTATATGTTTTTACCATTTAGTGACACTCTGGCTAGATAGTTAACCATAGTTAACGATATCTGGTGTTTATGTGTTTGTGTTTGATTTGCTGTTTCAACCACCTGGCTTTTGATTTAAGGTAAAGTTTGGAGCTAATCCTCCATTTTTATTAGTCCATCCACTCCTTCCAAGGAAAGAGACCCAAAGCATGACGCATCCATCGCCATACTTTACTGCGTTCTTTGATTTGGAAGGTTTACCTTATTGTTTTAAAAAATAAGGAAGGCCATATCTTTGAAATAAATTGCTCTTCAGAGAGAGTTTGACTTCACTCTGTAGGCAGCTGTAAATCTCCAGTCCAAGTTTGAAGGTGATGATTTCAGTTCAGCAATGTCATTTTTTATTTTTTGGACAATGGCTGCCTTTTTATTTGTTTCCGTTCCTTTGTAGTTTTATCGTTGGTGGCTTTTACGGAACATCCCAAACATTTTCCTCATGCTTAAAGGTGACAGTTTGATTCTAACTTGAACACCACTGGGTGTTTTAGCAGAACAATAATCCCACACATGCAGGAAAACTGCTTCTCCAAATGATGAATTAAACTAAAATGAAGCCTCTGGATTGCCCTACCCTCACTTAAATCTAGAGAAATAATTTTAAATGCAGAGTCTGTACTGGAAACTCCCAATAATAAATGAGCATTAGCATTTCTGATTAAAAGAAAGGTCCAACTTCCAACCTGAATTATGCTAGAAGGTTTTCGATGGCTTAAAAAAAACATCAGGCTGAGATACAACTCCCGTAGGAAACTTTATATAGATATTAGCAGGGTTGTATGTTTAAAACTGAGCCAGTATGAATATTTTGCTGCTTATAGATAAAAATATTCATGATTTTAAGCATGAAGGCTTTTTTTATACCATAATTCCACAACTAAAAAAGAGCAGCTTAAAAAATGATATCAAAAAAGAAATAGAGATTGCATTAATGTCTGATGAATTCCTATAAACACCTCTATGAATATAATGACAAAAGTGTCTACTTTTTTTTTGAATATTTAAAGCTAATAATAACCATCATAGATGGTATCCTGAGAAACTTTTTCCCTGCTGCTGTTTCAGAGGACGCTGTGCTCATGTGGTTTGAGCGTCTCTACGTGGGGCTCCTGTGCTTTGAGAAGTATCTGGTCTACCCTGCTATAGTGTTGAGTGCGCTTACTAATGATGGCTTTGCCCTCAGTCACCGCAAGAAGCTGGGAATCCAGTAAGTTGGCAAATCAAATAGAACACCCTTTAGCCTTTAGGCTTCTAAACTGACCTTACTCAACCTGTTGCTGACCTCTGCTTGCAGCTGCGATGTTCTCCTTACAACGGTCGCTGGACTGAAACTGCTGCGTTCCTCTTTCTGCGATCCCAGCTTCCAGTTCCTTACGCTTCTCTTTACACTCATTTTTTTCCACTTTGACTGTCCACATGCCTCTGAGAGCTTCCTGCTTGACTTCTTCATCATGTCGATTGTCTTCCACAAGGTAAGGCACAGCCGATCGTATCCCGGGAGCCTGGTTCAGCTCACATCATTCAACATCCCAGAAACAGTTTAAGTTTAAACCAGGAGTTTCCATGGAGTTAACCTTTCCCACCCTCAGTCTCACTGCAGCCATCTTCCTTTCAATTCTGGGGAAAACTAGTCATGCAGCAATTTTCCTCAAAGTTTTTTACTTTCCTTAGCAGCGAGGGTACAGTCATGTGAGATTATAGGACACCCCACTCAACAAGAAGTGCAATGAAGTCCTCATTAAGCAAAACATAGAAACAAAGTTATATAATCTGAAATAATCTGCAGCTCGGTCTCTGAGTTGTGTTTGTACCACTCCCACTCGATTGAAAGGCCTCTGGGTGAATTTATTTATATATTTTAAGCCTTTTCCAAATTAGACCTTCCAGTATCTTATATATTTAAAAGATCATGTGAAGTTTAACAAAAACCTCAATATAATGGACTCTTCTATAGAGGAGAAGTTGTACATATTTTTTGTGAAACTGTTTTTGTGTTTCTTTAATTCTTTTGGTTTATCCTGAAAACATCTGTAACAAATGCAGCTACTGTGTTATGTATATAATTGCTCTTTTTGCTTTTTCGTCATGTGACACTGATGTGATGTTACCTTTGCACTCTGTTCCTTGTTGGATTGATAAAGGAATATTTGTACTGTTTTTTTATTTAAGGGGTTGGCATTTATAAGCCTTTTGCTTCAGTCAACTCCTTTGAGCAGAATAACTGCTCAAATGAATAAATAAAGAAATACATAGATAATGGTGGGTTCTATTTTGGTGAGTAGGCCACGTCCCTCACAATAAATTATTCTTTAAAATAAAAGAATGACAGCCTGTTGTAGAAGGGATATGAACATGGGGCTTGAAATTATATAAACACAACAAAGGTGCATTGGGCTGCATAATAGGGAGAAAAATAACATTAAAAGATATGTTAGGATAAAAATATTAAGCAAGCATTAATGGGTTGATGTTCACTTCAAGATAGGAAGAAAAATTAATCTGTTGCAGGATTTGACACCCATTTTCAAAGCTTTAATCTTATGTCCGGTTTTCCACCTGATTTGAAATCTTGACCTCTAAAGTCTGAGGGAGTGGAGCTCATATGGTTTTAGAAACCTCTGAGGTTATGTGTGTGTATCCCCTCAGCATACCATAGACGTGTGATGAAGTTTAGTCTGTTTTCTGTGTTTGTGTCCAGATGCGAGAGCTGCTGCTAAAACTCCACTTCATCCTGGTTTACATCGCTCCCTGGCAGATCGCCTGGGGCAGCGCCTTCCATGCCTTCGCTCAGCCTTTCGCCGTGCCTCGTATCCTTTCTTCAAACGGCACGCCATGTGAAAGCATTAGCAAGATGCAAAATGGGTTTCTGTTTTGGCTTTTTGGTCATTTTAAGTTTTCAGATCAACAGTTGGTTTTTTTGGAATAACAGAAATACAATCAGATTTCCTCAGACTATCAATGATTTATTATGGAGTGAAAAAAATTAAGTCCAACAAAAATTGACTTAAACTGGTTGACAGAATATTTCTAATTCAGCCAGACTGGCTGGTATTTAACAGTCTGTTTAAAATGTTAATAGGCTGAATATTTGTAGAGAGCTTTTTATTCCTACTGACACCTCAAAAAAGCACTTTATACCATAGCCACATTCACCAAATTGCACTCTTTAATGTGTATCTTATGTTTAGTTGTCCTTTTCACCTACTTTAAAGTCTCGCCTTTTGCACATTAATTAGATGATTTAACCACAGTTTTATTCATTGTGTCCGTTTTTTTAGCCATTCAGACTAGTTTGGCCTGCTGCTTTGATCTGGTTCGTGTCTTTCTTTATAACCCGAATGTACTTTAACTACTGTCTGGGCATTCTCCTTTTGGATTGTAAAGGTATAGTGGAGGATTTTCTTTTTCTGGGTGGATCACCAAAATAAGTGGTCCTTATCATTCTTGTGATATGTTTACGTAAGGCCGTCCTACGTGCTTGTCCCCATTTTCACTTACCGGTGATGAGTGAAAGTAAGCTTGTATGAGAGATGCAAACAGCAACTTTTAAACAGAGTGTGCACGATGGGAAATGGGCTCCGGTATGCTCTTGCACGCATATAACAGGCGTTCCCTCTCTGGAGTGGGTATAGGGTTGTGCATGTGGATTAAAAAAGGTACAGCCTGAATTCATGGCTTGCTGATAAAATAAACCTATTCAGAAATGCTCTGATGTAACACGCCTGTGCACGCCTTCTGAAAAGCTGCACTTATATAAAAATGTTCTACCAAAAATGTCAGAGAATCACTGAGATCATTTTGATAGATACACAGACAGACAGACAGACTGACTGACTTTGTGTTGTCAGATAGGTTCAGTTTATTAGCTCATTAGCTCCTAATTCTAGAGCTTAATTTCCAATCAGGTCAGGGTCTGGCCTGTGAAAAGGCCCCATATATTCCTTATTGTTATCAATTTATCATATAACAGTTTAAAATCGGACCATGATGATTCTGTCAACATTTGTCCATTCAAAAATCATAATAACACCTTTATAAAGCTACACCTACTCTGTTAAAATTATTTTATTGATCTGAAACCAATAACTAGGACAAAAAAAGCAAAGGATAAAAGCAATGTTTCAAGAGGAAGCTACTTTTTCACAGCACAACACACCAGGACCACCAGCTCTACCTTTTATTTTCCTTTACCCCCATCTGCGTGTGTCCAGACTCAGCCATGTTGCTGCTACAAACTCTGCTCACCACCGTCTTCTACACCCCGCTGGCTCCCTTCCTCGGCAGCGCCATCTTTATCTCGTCTTACCCGCGGCCCATCAAGTTCTGGGAACGAAACTATAAGTAAGGCCGTTACTTTGGGCTGAAAGCTGAGGGTTTGGAAAACATCCTTTATTTCCATACAGCTCAGTTTAACCATGAAGTAATATAAACCAGACATCAGGGGAAAAGGTTTTGTTCGTCTTTCTGCTTTTTCTTAATAAAAGGTGTTTATGTTTTCATAAAGGGAACGAGTTTATTTAATAGAAGATCTGCTGAAGGGGAAAAACAACCTTCTGTCTCTTTCCAGACTTAGCGAACCCGCCAACACTAAACAGATGTTCCCACTCTCACTTATTGATGCATATTTCTACTACAGACATCTAAAAATACTCTGGCGGCTTTGTTACGCAATCTCTCTCAGAGATTATATTTAGATCCAGAATGAAATCCTTGATGTTAAGAATCTCGAGCAGGCTCAGCTCAGCAGGAGTCTAATGAAAACAGCAGACAGTTTGAGCCCTGTTGCTGTGGTGACGGCTGGAGATTCTTTATTTCACTCTAAATATGGTGCCATGCATTGTGTCTGAAAATGTTTTTATGAGAATTCATGTGATAAACCGACCGAAATTTGAGGAAAATGGATAGAGGGCCTTTTTAAAATACAGTGTGACTTATCTTGATGTAAATTATTAACCTGCTGGAAGGTCAACCACCACCCTGGTGTGAAATCCTTTGCAGCATCTAAGAGTTTTTCTTCCAGGATTGATCTGAATATAACTTCATACCCATTTTACCAACATCTATGTTCAGCTTTTATGTTTAAGTTGAATAAAATGTATTAAAATAGATTCTTGCTCTAGCTGTGCGTTTCTGCTAGTGTTGCGCCAATGCCATTGTTTGGCCCCGATACCAATACCCGAGCTGGCTATGCAGTATCGGCCGATACCGATACCATCTGTTTGAAATTGATGTGTGTGTGTATATATTAAGAACTGCATACTACTCCGATGTAAAATAATTGCCATCATGGCTTTGTCAAGCTGCTGCCTGCCTTTGTGAAGCAGGAAAGTGAATCCAGTAGAACTTTTTATTGCCTACCTGGAATGGGTGACCATAGTTGAATAAACTTTTGGCTCTCAAAATGGTATCGGTGCCCTATTTGTTGGTACTCGCCGATACCAATATCACCATTTTAGTGCTGGTTTGGGGCCCTGTCCGATACTGGTATCGGTTTCGGTGCAACACTAGTTTCTGCAGCTCCTCTAGAGTCACCATGGGCATTTCTGCTTCCTCCTTCTGTTCTTGCTTCCTTTTAGATTGTTATATACTGCTTCATGAGCAGATTGAATCGACACTAATTTGTGTTTTTAATTCTATACATTTTTCAAGTTTATCTAAAGTTTTTCTTTAGACTTTGGCTGCACTCTAAATAGAAAGTTCAGCTCCAACTTAAATTAATAGCTTCGAATGGTAACAAGTAATTGAATTAAATTTAACTTAATTTATTTAACCTTTCAACTTATAAACTTAATAAATTAACTTAAATTAACTTGATTCAATTACTTGTTACCATTTCTAGCAATTTATTTAAGTTGGATCTGCATTTTCTTTTTACAGTTTTTTTAGTTAGATTCTCCGTCTAGTATCCTAACTGATTATGACCACTAGTCTCTAAAAATTAACTTATGGTGAGGAAGAGAAAAAAAGATGGATCATCCTCTGTTAATCATCTATTTTCTGCCCGGTTTTTGGCTGGATGTCTCAGGGAAATTCTCGATATACTATGGTATTTAACTTTGCCGTGTTTTTAAAAATCAGCTAAAGAAATTAAAAACAGTTATCTTTGTGACTGCTGATAAAATGTTTCATGTCCTGTTCTTCTCAGCACTAAGCGCATAGACAACTCTAACAGCCGGCTGGTGTCCCAGGTGGACAAAGAGACAGGTTGGTTCTCTCATTGATGGTTTCATCATTTATATTCTGCATCACTTTTAGCTTCTCTGTCAGCCCTTCACATCAGATACCATCAAACTACCTATGGGGGAAAAATAAAGAAATAAAGCAGCACATTGTGTGTTTTCTCCTGGCTTTCCTTCAGGTTGTGACGACAACAACTTGAACTCGATTTTTTACGAGTACCTGACTCGCTCGCTGCAGCACTCTTTGTGTGGGGACCTGATGCTGGGTCGCTGGGGCAACTACAGCACTGGAGACTGTTTCATCCTGGCTTCTGACTACCTCAACGCCCTAGTCCACCTCATCGAGATCGGAAACGGCCTTGTCACCTTTCAGCTCAGGGGGCTGGAGTTCAGAGGTACCGCACCACCTTCTGCTTCTCTGTGACAGCAAGGCGAAAAAAATAGCCTTTATGTCATGTTAAGTTTTAATAGAGAACATTGTTGAACGAGCAGCATCTTGGGGAGTAAGGGATAAAGTGGACATGTCAGGGAGAAGGTTGTGGTAAAATTGAAGGCTGGGTTGGGTTATTTCAACAATAACTTCAATTCTGACAGGCTGGAAAAGGGAGCAGTAGTTGGGTAATTAGCTAATGATAAATAGAGAGTGCAGAGATCCACAGCTCCAGTAGAAAAACGTCAATTAGTCTTGTACTCCGAAGAATAGGGGCATGAAGAAAGCCATGAGCTGAGTTTGCTGTTTGCCATAAGCCATGTAGGAAACACAGCAACACTATGCATGACTAACAATGTGCTTCACTCCATATATCAACATATTGGAGGCAGCATCATAATGTGGGAATGTTCTTCCCTGAGCAGGAACAGGGCAGAAGGCCAGACTGAATGTGAATACAGATGGAGCTTAGTAAAGAAAAAGAAAACACAGTACAGTTGTTGGAGCCTGTAGAAGGCCTGAAACTGAGTAGCAGGTTTCCTTTCAGTAATGCAGGGACCCATAAACATGTAGCAGGAGCTAAAGTAAAATTACTCAGATCAAAATGTTAGACCTGTGCTTCCTGTGCTTGTTTTTCTGGTTACAGTTTTTATGAATACAAAAAAGTCCACTGCAGTTATTACATAGTGCAAAACAATAAACCAAAAAAACCTTTAAATCACAAATTAAAAGTTTCATTGTTTAATTTACTGTCTAACAGAACACAAATTTATTAATAACACATAAAAAAAACCTCTCAAAATGGGGCGTTTATTCAGTTCATTTCTACAACACCAACATCCAATCGTAAAGCCAGCTGAGAACCTAGACTGCAAAAAGATCTAAAAATAAGTAGACAGTGCTTTAAATAACTGTATTCACCTCAATTTTGCGATCATTTGACATTATGAACTTAAAATGAGACAATGCAGTTGATTTTCCTTATTTCCAATGTAAATTGTCTTATTCGATTGGCAAAGGGTCTCACTTTACTGCTTAATTCAAAGAAAAATGCAATTATTTGAAGAGAAATTGACTTGCTTAGATTACATTTTTTGCAGTGTGAACACTAAACTGATGATACAATGCAAAAACGACCTAGAAATAATTAATTTGAGTAGGTAAATAAGATGATCTGCCAATGGAATGAGTATTTTTAATCTTTAAATAAGATAATTAGATAAAATGCACTTAAAATAATAAGACAATGCAATTGTTTTTTTCTGATTTAAATGTAAATTGTCTTGTTCCATTGGCAAAGAGTCTCACTTACATCCTCAATTCAAGAAAAAATTAAGTTATTTAAAGAAAAAAATGACTTATTTAGATTTAATATTTTTGCAGTGTAGGAGATTTTCTCCAACCGTCCTTCCTGAGCTGGAGCCGTCTTTACATTGATGAACGAGCAAATTGGTCTCCAGATGTAGGGAACTAGTACAGATTTACTTCAGAAGAGGCAAAAAGGGTTTTATTGAATATTTACTCTTGCTGAAATAAAAACACACACCACAGCGTCTGTTTTTTTTTCAAATTTGCCAGAGTTTCTTGAAAACATATAACATAATCTTTAGGCTGTTAGATATGTGAATAAGAAATGGGTGACTAAGTTGTGCAAAAATTAAAAAATAAATAAAACTTTATTTTCATATAGAGGTTTTTATTTTATTAGATGGTGAAGTATTCCTATATGTTAATGTAACAGTTACCCCAAACTGTGCAGTAGTCAGCAATGCAGGAGAGGTCTCAGGAGGGATGGAGGATGAATACAGAAGGAGGGATGATGGAGAAGACCTACAGTATGTCCTCACCACTGACCTGTCTGTTTCAGGTACCTACTGTCAGCAGAGGGAGGTGGAGGCCATCACAGAAGGCGTGGAAGAAGATGATGGGTGCTGCTGCTGTGAGCCGGGCCACCTGCCTCACATGTTGTCGTGCAACGCCGCCTTTAACCTGCGCTGGCTGGCCTGGGAGGTGACGGCCACAAAGTACCTGCTGGAAGGCTACAGCATCAGCGAGAACAACGCCGCCACCATGCTGCAAGTGTACGACCTCCGAAAGCTACTCATCACCTACTACCTGAAAGTATGTCCGCTCTTTATTTCACAGGCTCCAAATAGGGAGAGAATTCAATCAAACCCACCCTCTGCCTCTCTCTCTGCTCACAGAGCATCATCTACTACCTGGTCCACTCCCCCAAGCTGTGCACATGGCTCAAAGACGCCAGCATCCAGGAGGCGCTGCAGTCCTACACCAAGTGGCATCACATTGAACGGGATCCGCAGGTCTTCAGTGTGAAGATCGACGAGGACTACGTCCACTGCCTTCAAGGGGTGACAAGGGCCAGCTTCTGCAACGTCTACCTGGAGTGGATCCAGCACTGTGCTGGAAAGTTGGAGACGGTACCAACTGTTAAATACGTCTCACACATCAACACATGTCCTCACAGAGATTCACACCTCGTTATGTTTCTGTTTGTACCAAATGTCCAGCCGGTGGACAGCGACGAAGACTCTCCTCTGGTTACCTTGTGTTACGCTCTTTCTGTCTTGGGGAGGAGATCCCTTGGCACAGCATCCCACAACATGTCCAACAGGTAGAGGACTGCAACACAAACATGTGTAAAGATTATACATTTTCACAGGACTTTGTGTAAATGAATGGAAGGAAAAAATCTGGATGAAAAAGATGGCGGCTTTACAACAGCAAGAAACTTCAAGAAACACTTTGCTGTTCTCTTTGCTGTTTATTTCAATTTTGTTACTTAATGCAAAACTATATTTAACCTTTCAGAGACAAGAACTTTTTTTCAAATATTCTAAAACTTAAGCAATGTTCAATAAGGTCAGTTGAAATTTGTGTTTTGAGATGGATCTTCACAGGGAATATTTATTCCTCCTGAACAGAGCTGCTTCCATCCAATATTAATATCTGTATTGGTCATGATAACCAAGAAAAGTTTAGATTGGGTAAAACTGGGTCTGATCCATCAGGGCAGATCTATTCAGTCTATTTCTATGCAAAAAAAAAATTCTGCTTGAAACCCTTTATAGGCATCTTCTAACAAGATTTTTATTGCTTTATTTTCAGACTTTATACTTAAATACTTATATCTTTCTTATACTTGCCTTGGAAAAAGTTTCCTTTTTCCATAAACATTTTTATTCATATGCACACTTGCTTGTAGAGAGGTTATTGAAAACCTCCTTAAAAAAAAACAAAAAAATATAATGATAAGATTAAAGCAAACAAAGCTCTAGTATTGGAAAAGGATTGGGAGCTGCAAATATCCAAATGTAAGTATCTTAAAAAAAAGGTGCATCCCTAGCCTGAACAAACTCCCAAAAGTTCAAATTTTAGGTCAGTGGTTCTAAACGTTGACATTACAATGAATCATTATTCACATTATGAATGTGATACCTGACGCTGAGGTGGAATCTGACCAGAAGGTATTAAAAGTAAATTGAGTAGAAAAAAAAAGAAAAAATTAAAAATCCATAAACAAGCATGAAAAATTTGCTGTCATAATTTCACAGGACCGATATAGAGGAAGACAATTAGTATGAATCACTATTGAGTTTATATGTATTTTCAAATAGAGGATAAATAAAAAAAGCTAACTTGGTTAATATTTACATTCCTATTTTTCTATCACTGAGGTATCACCTTACTACTAGATTTTTTTTAAATTAATAGAATATTAAATACCTACCAACTGTAGGTCTGGACTTGATTAGTCACTATCTTATAGCTCTATAAACAGTTCACACTGTATCTAGAAATAAAGATGCAATAACTCTCTGCCAATCAGTGGGTGACTCTAGGATATTATTTTCTTGTCTTTTTGGAAAGTACGTAGATAAGAACCAACCAAGTAAATCTTTGTGACATCTTAAAAATCTCTCCATATCTGATGGAGCCATGTAGAAATGGATTGTGTAAATGTTCTTTTAATCCTGACCTGCAGCTAAAAACAAGGGCCAGAAGAGGGCGCCAAATCCTAAAGAAAATGTAACATTAAACAGATTTCTTTTTTTTTTTGCAGTAAAGCTACTTATTTTTCATACACTTTATTACCAAAAACTCTCATAATATTAAAACTACTAATTTTTTCCCCCCTGTGTTGTTCTTGCTGAAGCCTGGAGTCCTTCCTGTATGGTTTCAACACCTTGTTTAAAGGGGACTTCCGTATTGCAGCCAAAGATGAATGGGTTTTCACTGACCTGGACCTGCTTCAGAAGGTGGTGGCTCCAGCTGTCAGAATGAGCCTCAAGCTGCATCAGGTAAAGTTTACATAACTAGCTTCCTTATAATGATCTATATTATCACTGTCATTCATAGATATGGATTGGAGATCCTCAAGGTTGTGGTTTCCTACAAGTAACAAGTGCACATCTGGCTGAAAGTGTTATTAAAATGCTTCAATAAATGTTTTTTTTAATTATTTTACTAATTGGAATTCAAAAGTAGAAAAAGCTTTAATTTATTGTATTAATTGGAAAATTATGTTTATGTAATTTAAATTTCTGGATGTAATTTTAAGATGGGTTTTCTGCCCCTACCAGCACACATATATATACATACACACATTTATATAAATTTTGTTTCTTAACATGCGGTAAATAAAACTAATAAAAGTTTCCAGTAGTTCAGTACGCCTCTCCTGTCCTTCAGGATCACTTCACGTGCCTAGAGGAGACGGAGGAGGCGTCCATCCTCTACGAAGCCATCACCAACTACCGCAGCAGCCTGGTGATCTGTCATGAGAGCGACCCAGCCTGGCGTAAGGCGGTGCTATCCAGCCGCGACACACTGCTCACCCTGAGGCACATGATCGACGACGGCACGGATGAGTACAAGATCATCATGCTGTACAAACGCCACCTCAGCTTCAAGGTCATCAAGGTAACAGAGATAAGCATCGGCTGCAGCTTCCAGTGTTGGATAATCACAGCATGCTAGAAAGTGGCAGATATCTGGACCATCCTGGAAACTGTTTATCACATAAGTTTGACCCCAGCTGTTTGGAAAAACTGAACAGTTCCATAGATACATTTCAAACATAATCAGTAGTTTGCTAAAATCAAATGTTTGAAACATGGATTTTATGTGGTTCTATTAGGTAAGATTAATATTTGATCTGGTGGCTAACATTCAAAATGCTTTTTTGTGCACCCTACTATGAGACATGTTGATGCTTGTCATCGGAAAAGACATGGAAGCTGGTTAGAGTGGATGGGAGGTTTGATGGAGCTAAATACAGAACAAGAAACACAGTTGGCTGTAAGGAACCATTTAGCAGCACAGCCACAAGCATTCAGTCAGAGCTGAAATGGATGGCTTAGATCAAAGCTTATTTATGTATCATAGTGGCCTAAAACCTACTTCTGATTCTCAGTCCTGGATTATTATTTTGCAAATGGATATTCGATATTTTATTAAATAAAAGAAAAAGAAGAAGGAAAAAAAAAAAAAACGAGATTTCTAGTTATTAAACCAAAGTGTTTTTAAGTCTGATTAAACCCCCAACTGATCGATGTAGTCTTAAAGGTCTGAAACTGTCCTGTAATTTTTTTTACGTTAAAAGATGTTACAGTTTACTACAATTTCTCAAAAAAGTCTTGACAAGAGCACCCCCCCCCCCCCCCCCCAAAAAAAAAAAAAAAAAAAAAAAAAAGAAATAACTTTACTCTCTTTGGTAAATCAAATTATAACACAACACATTTTCTTCCATTGATCAATATACTCATTATCAAAGAGCAATCCTGAAGAATACTAAATAATAATAATATACTATATAAAATATTTGTAAAACATAATCTTATATATTAATATAAAACTTTATATTGATATTTCATTGCAAAATAAATAACTTTGCATGCATCTCATCCAGGTTGAGTTTAGTTTAAATAGTTATTCATCTGAATAAATATGTGTAATCTAACTGAAAGGTAGTTTTATAATTTTTTTTGGTCTTTGAAGGGGTTATGACATGTAAGACGTTATTGACTCGTCTTTCATGTGATTAAAGGAGATCTAAGCCGCCTCCTATTCATTCTGACAGCAGCTGAATTGTGGTCTGATCCAAGATGGCCGCCCTACAGGCATGTAGGCCGGCGTCCAATGAGGAGTCTCTAGTATAATGTCTATGGTCATGCCTGCTGCCAGCATGTTCTTGTGCTGAATTAAAATTAGCCCCGTTCTCTTTCATTTCCAACTTTGACTTCCCCCTCTGGCAGTTAGGAAAAATCCACAGAGAAGGCGCACCTTTTTTTAAGCTGCACGGTTCAAAGTGTGGGAAAAAAGTAGCGGCTTATAGTCAGGAAAATACAGTAATTAAAATTTTTTCTGAATCAAATTCCAGCAGAGAGCTGCATGAACAAAGGCTTTCCTCCTAAATGAAGTCAGAGAAAAAGTGGACAGAAAGAATCAGCATACTGTGTGAGCAAAAGTTGTAGAAGTCCACATTTATCAGGGTAATTGCAGAACAGATATAGGCTGGATGCAGGCCAAGTAATGCATTATTAATAACAGTTAACCAATAGGAATTCCTTTATGAAACCAAACCAGATCATTCCACCCATGAAAATAAATCACAGTGGAGTGTTTTGCAATTTCTAATGAACCTCAGAGAAGAAAAATAGACAGAGTAGCATGCTGATAACATTGTGATGAGGTAATCATCCACAAAACATCTCCATCGTTCTGTACAGTGGAGCTTCTAGACCAAATTTAGGGGGGGCAGGGCTGGGTCGGTGTTTTTTCATTAAGGAATAAAACAGGCCATTAGTTCATATTTTGATTTATTGAGTTTTACTGATACATACCGTTTCTTGCATATTACCGGTAGCAATAATTTTAGGCATCAGGGGGTTAAACCAATTAGATCTTTTTTTATTTTTCAAATTTTTGCTGGTGATTTCACCTCTAACATATATCCTTTTCATCCAAAACACAGCTTTGTGCACTTTTAACCGGAGTGTGTAAACAGCATAGCAGCAAAAACTTTATCTGTTGGTTCTAGAAGCTATTTTTCAGGTTTTTCTCTGAAGGAAAATCTTGAATATTCCTAAAACAAAGCAGAAAAACCAGATGTGACCTTTACTTACTGTTTTTTTTAATCTTCCATATTTTTCATTCTAAATGTATGTATCCACCTACATGCAAGCCTTTGGTAACTTTTAGTTTCTAATGTGTAAATAAAGTAAATACCGTAAATTCTCTAATATAGGCCCGGGCCTTTATTTCACTCAAGTGCATCGCGGTCCAGGCCTTTATTGGATAGAGGCCAGTATTAGAGACAGGCCTCTATTGCTATTTGAGCAAAACAGACTACCAGTGGAATGAATAAAAATGAGATTTTGTGTCTATTTGAACCTATAAAACACTAGGTTCATTTATTGAAAAAGTACAGTTACCATGTCTCGCTTGGTTTGAAGTAAAAAAAAAATATAAAAATCCTCCAATTCTGTTTAATTCTCCTCCTCAGTTTCCTCCTCCTCTTCATCTCTCCCTTTAATCTCCTCATCACTCGCGCTGCTCCTCCTGTTCTGCTGCGTGTCTGTTCTCTTCCTCGCGCAGACGGGCAGCAGCAGGGCTTGTCGTTCAGCTGCGCAGGGCTGTGGTACTTGTATGTTACTACCACAAGTATAATGTTGAGGTATGCCCAGAAAAAACGTTTATAGCCCCGGCCTGTATTAGAGACCGGCCATTATTTACCTCCTCTGACAGCGAGACCGGCCATTATTAGAGACCCGGCCGCAGCCGCTATTGGAATACAGGCCAATATTAGAGAATTTACGGTATATTAGCTATTTCAGTCTTTGGCTGTGCAGAGGTGGAAGAGGAAAACTCTCCAATAGAGCTGCATTTGTTAATGTATGGTCAGCTTTAAAATTGTAAAAGAAATACATGATATATATATATATATATATATATATATATATATATATTTATTTTAATCTGTTTACATCTGTCTAATAAACCTCATCCAAATACAAGAATTGTTTTTGTGGCTGTAACAAAAAACAGTATTATTAATACTTTTTGGGAGGTTTTAAATGAATATAGTTTAAGCAGATATAGCCTGTCAAAAAAATGTGTCTTGATCCCTCCAAAACAAAAAAATAATAGAAATTTGTCTTGTACTGAACTTTTTAAGTATTCCCTAGTGCTCTTCGTCCCTCCTGAATGCTTTCGTCTATTCCCTGCAGATCAATAAGGAGTGTGTGCGAGGTTTGTGGGCGGGTCAGCAGCAGGAGCTGGTGTTTCTACGGAACCGCAACCCGGAGCGTGGCAGCATCCAGAACTCAAAACAAGCACTGAGGAACATGGTCAACTCATCTTGTGACCAACCTCTAGGCTACCCCATGTAGGTGTGATTCTCAGCTTACAGCTGCAGCGAGGCCGACTTAAACCTGTTGTATGTTTTAAGACATTTGCATCTTTTTTTTTTTTTTTAGGTATGTGTCGCCACTAACGACGTCATTTGCAGGAACGCATCGTACACTCCGCAGCATTGGAGGCGGGGCTTTAAGCTTGGATGCCATTCGTTCCTGGCTGTGCTCTAAGTGGCTACGGTCAGTGTTTGTTTCCTCCCACTAGCAAGTTAAAAGCATGAGCCTGTTCCTCAGTCTTTTTTATTATTATTATGGGGGATCTCTTCATTTATCATTCTTTATGTGCGTAAAATAAACAGAGATTAAGCTTTTTTAGTTTGGACACAAGCTCAATTTCTGAGATTCCTTGAATGAGATGCTGTGCATAAAAAACTAGTCTCTTCATCATGAAAAGAGCCTCCAGAAACAACATGACTAACAAGCTTACCTGAATTCAGCTAAATTATGATTTTAGGATAACAATATTAACACCACTACAGATGCTGTTTAACTGCACCATCAAGCAAACCCTTACAGCTAATGCAGGAAAATGTTGCTAATTGCAATAGATGCATTTGGTTTTAATTCATTTAGATGATATTTGGTTTTTGGATGCAGTTCCTTGTTTTTGGTTTTGCATTATCTAAGCATAGTGAGAAATAGTCAGGCTCTCTATCAAGCATGGCCTGGGTTCTACAGTAGAACCCTTGAGCAAGGCTGGACTGCTACTCTGGAGTGTGGAGAGACAGAGGACGGGGGTATGTCTGCTTATCTCCTTTGAGCCCAACCGTCTCGCATTGGAGTTTACCCTGGTGGATTAGAGGGTCACATCTCTTCGTCTTCGGCACGGTGTAGGTGTCTGACTGTTGTTTCGCCCTATGGGCTGAACAGCGGTACAGAGTACCAGGCTTTCTTGGTGTCTTTGGGGAGGGGGTGTTGGATGATGCCCCTCGCAGGGATTTCATCTATCTGCTGGGGTACTTTAATGCCCATGTGAGGAATTACAGTGACACGTGGAGGGGTGTGATTGGAAGGAAAGGATCTGAACTATGTTTCATTTCTGGACTTCAGTGCAAGTCACGGATTATCCATAATGACCACCGTGTTCAAGCATAAGGATAACTTGTAGTCATATGTTCTGATCTTCGGTCGCATGTGTTGGACACTCAAATGAAGAGAGGGGTAGGCTGTCCACTGATGACCACCTGGTGGTGAGCTGGATATGCTGGAAGAGGAGGAGGCTGGACAGACTTGGCAGTCCCAAAGGAGTAGTGAGGGTCTTTTAGGAACTTCTGGTTGAGCCCTCGGTCAGGGACGTGTTCTACTCCCACTTCCGGGAGAGTTTGTCCCAGATTTTGGGGGCGTCTGAGTGGACCATGTTCTCTGCCTCCATTGTCGATGCAGTCGCTAATAGCTGTGGCCGTAAGGTCTGCGGTTCCTGTTGTGGTGGCAATCATATAACTGGGTGGTGGACGCTGGCAGTAAGGGAAGCTGTCAAGCTAAAGAAGGAGTCATCAAACCTTGTTGGCTTGTGGGGCTCCTGAAGCAGCAAGCACCTCTCATGGGGCCAAGCATGCCACTGCCCGGGTGGTTGCAGATGCAAAAACTCAGGCTTTGGAGGAGTTTGAACAAACTGGCCATAGAAAACGACAGTTGGCATTAAAACAATACTGGCAAACCGTCCGGTGCCACCGGAGGGCGAAGCAATGTTTCGCTAACACTGTTTTCAGTGGGAGGGGAGAGCTGGTGGTCTGGGACAGTGCCCCTGGATTGGCAGACCGGGGTAGAGTGTTCCACTGCCTAGGAAGGGGGACCAGAGTGTATTTTCCAACTATAGGGAGACCACACTTCTTACCCTCCCTGGGAAGGCCTATCCCAGGGTCCTGGAGAAGTAGTCTGACGGATTGTTGATTGTTGGCTTCAGGAGGAGTGGTGTGGTTTTCCTCCTGGCCGTGGACCAGCTCTACAACCTCTGGAAGGGGCTTTGGAGTTTGCCTAACTGGTCCATGTGTTTTGTGGACCTGGAGAAGTCATTCAGTCATGTACCCCTTGGTGTCCTGGGGGCGGCCCTCCAGGAGTATTGAGTCGGTGGTCTTTTAATAGGTACTATCCAGACGAGCGGAGCAGGAGTTTGCTCCACATTGTCGGCATCAAGTTAGACTTGTTTCTGGTGCATACTGGTCTCTGCAAGCCCTCCACTGCCCTCTATCACCAATCCTGTTCATAACCTTTAGAGGAAAAGTTTCAATCAAGTGCAAGTGTTTTGAATATGCTTGGTAATAGCAATGTTTAGAGGATCTGGCAGAGCTAAACAAAAAATAAAATAGAGTGGTCTTAATCCAATGTGAAATGTCCTTAGATTCTTGTAGTAGTCTTTTGTTTTATGTCACTTAACATACTACTAAATATAAAGTTGTTTAGTTGTCAGATGAGGCAACCAAATCTTCACCTCCCCATATGTCTGAATCTAATTTTCAGACTCATAGATTATATAATATTTTTTCCAGGAAATCGTCAAAAGTCCAGATAATTGTTACATGTTTTGAGCCATTTCCGAAGGCTTGGCTCCTTAAAACTGGAGGCAGAGTGTAACACGCATTATGCTAACTTCATAAAGCTCTCATTCAGCTGGTTGTGTTTTAGGATGAATTTCTCTGGAAAAAGGCTTCACTGTAATTGTAATGCTCTGGCTCCCTGCAGGCTGAGTGAGTGCTTCAGTGAGGATTTACAGATATTGACTCACAGCACTGGAGAGAGACTCGAGCAAGTTAATGTAGTTTTAAATGTACATACGGGGACAGTGGGGGTGTAGAGATGATTGGATTACAGAGAAGACGGGAAAGCCAAAATGGACTCTCTGCTGTTGCACACGTTTTGCTTTTTATTTCTGTTTTCTTGGCTTTGATAAATCCTATAGCAACTACTACATTATGGATTACTTAAAGATGTACATGTGTTTGAAATTGCACAACATTTTGTGTCATTTTTTTGTTTTATTATTGAAATGATTGGAGTGTTAACCTGCTGAGTCAGCAATCATCTGAAAGGTTTTTTTTTTTATTTTTACTGAGTATTAAAATATTTTTTGTCTCACTGTTGAATATACATTCTCATTAATAGTTATGTAATCTCCCTTTTAGTCAGAGGGAATGTGCTGAGCCACCTGGGATAGTGGGAGCTTACTGAATTTTTTAAGGCCTCCTGCTTCTGTGGCACATGAATAAATAAATCTGAGCTCTTTGTGTATTTTTTTTAATATCCTGCAGAGTGCGTAAGGACAACCTGACCAGCTGCAATAGCGGTGTGAACATGGAGGATGTGGACTGCGGCGCTGGCGGCTCATCGTCGCTGAGCCACAACCGGCCATCCTCCGTCACGTCCAACAGCCTGAGTCTCTACCAGCACAGAGCACGGACGACACACAGCCGCAGACATCACAACGCAGGTACTCTAACACACACTGTCTCTTTGCAAGTTTTGACAAACTCCTTTCAGGCTACCTGAGTAAAATCACTAATTCATTAGCAGGATTCTTTTTTATGTTGGGGTTTTAAAGAAATATTAACAGTTATTACATCTGGTTTAGCTTTCAACTCTTCAGTAGCCTTTAGATGTTTGGTATCAAACAAAGTTAAGCTAAAATTATGGTTTAATTTGTCAGCAACTATATAAATCAACCAGGCCGTATGTGAAAAAAATGACTATCCTCTTTTTTTATTATTATGTAACTGATGCAGTTACAGTTAAAGACACGGAAGCCATACTACATCTTATAATCTTTATAGGTTTTGCTTTCAATGTTTGCATACATGCATTTTTATAATCCATGTGATAGTCCCTCTTTTGTTGTGGTTGGTATTTGGTGTTTTTTATTTTTTTTCCTTCTCATTTCTTGCAGATGTGGAAGCAGATTTACCCTTTTTTTTTAATTCCTGCTCCTTTTATGTCTCTGTGTTCATTATATGTTTGTTTCTTCTCAAAGCCACTTTTAATATAAATAAATTCATACAGAATCACCAGGTGGCATCTTAAGAAGAAAGCCATGATGGTCCACTCATGAAAGTGAATCTGTTGGGCTATTATCCATCAATTCTCAGTGCTATATTGGCCAACAGGACACAAAAATGTAAAAAAGAAAAAAAAAAGGCATACTACAAGCACCAGCTTGAGCCTAATGTCCTTTATGTGAACAAACATGGAAGTAATTTATTTTATTTATGGGAAGTGACATGGGACTGGCTCAGAAATAAGAAGTTGGGATGGAACTGCTTCTCTTTTAGCCGATAAATTAGACATCTCAGTTTACAAGAAAGTGAAATATATTTAAAGAGCTTTCTTCTGACATATTGATGTTCAACCCATTGATGTTCCTGTAGGACTCAATGATGTGTTTCATATGGGCCTGGTTGTCTGCCTTTTCCTTCTGTAGAATAATGTATAGATATGCTTTTTAATACATATTTGCTCCTGATTGGTGATTTGGGTGAAATCAAAATTACAAATCCTGTTTCCTTCTTCTAATTATACAAAAACCCTTTTAAGCTCATGTTTGATTCATTTCTCTTGGTGTCAAATATTTGTTCTTTGGTTTAAAACATTCCAAACTAAACCATTATTCAGTCCAGCTAGAGTGTTGAAATGAAAATCTCTCTCAGAAGCAGCTTTGGTGGATTCTTGTCTGAATTCTTCAAAAGACTTGATTTATATCCCTCCGTGCTTCTGTGTTTCCTCAGGAAGAAGAGAGTACCGCAGTCGATCTGTGCAGCCTCAGAGTCAACGTCCTCCTGTAAGCAGCCAGTCAGGTCCCATCCTGGACTCTGGCTCCGCCCATGGGCTAGTCCAGCGTTTGTCCAACAGTCAGCTGTCTTTTAACACTTCCATAGCCTCAATATTCTCTCAGGTTATACACATTTTTCCTTTACATCTACAAGCGCTTTCCTAAGGTCTGACAGGAAGGAATAAAGAAGAGCTTTTTGTGTCCTCAGGTCCCTCGTCTGTCAGGAGCAGGAGGGATCAGCTCACAGCTCCAGGCGGCGCAGCATCAGCAGCGCTCCAGTCAGGTGGAAACTTTGCCTGCCTCTCACAATCACTCTCTACAAACTTGAAAGCAGGGCTTCACGCTTTGTTCCTGTTTCATGTCTCTCCACAGGTCTCCTCATCTTCATCTACACTCAGCCTTTTGTTTGGGAAGCGCAGCTTCTCTAGCGGCCTGGTCATCTCCGGATTGTCTGCAGCCGAAGGGGGCAACACCACCGACACGCAGTCTTCTTCCAGCGTCAACATCGCTGTTGGGCCTTCGCATAGGTCCAGCAGCAGAGCCACACAGGTAAGAAGATATCAGGGAAAATAAGAACCTTTGGAAACTTTTCAAATACCTCCAAACCTATCACGCTTTGACTTGTTACAACCGTAAACTTTGAGGAATTTTACTGGGAGTCATTTATGATAGTCCTACATTTAATGGCTCCTGACCTGGAAGTGGAAAATAACTTTTCACTCTAATGGTCCTAAATAGAGTGAATTACATTCAGAAAGTCATTATCTTAGCAGACTACAGTAGCAGCCATTCAGAATGGCCCCTTCTCAGTCTAAAGCCCAGGGCCCAGTCTGGCAAATGGCAGAATGGCCCCTCCAACTTCCAGCCACTGGTCTTCTTCTTGGCGTGCATTATTTTTTAACTCTGACTCCACCCTTTCACTGAATTACAGGGTCTGACCAGGAGATGACGCTTCGCTTTAGATCTTAAAGTCCACAAATCATGATAGAAAAAATATTTCAGTACAAAGATTGATGTTTAAAAAGGAATTGTAGGGGATCAGCCAAGGGCCCATCAAGGAAAGTGGGGACATTTTTAATGGCTACTACTGTATGTAGATTATGAATGAAGCGGTTCTGTGAAGGCTTTAGTAAAACTAATATGGTGAACTAAAGGTAGCATGTGAAAGTAGGCGATTTAGTAAGACTGTGACCAAAAGTGGAAGTTTTGACTTAAAAGCAAAACAATGTGCATCCTATTACAGTAGTGCATCATTCCAGTGGTGGCAGCATCATGCTGTGGAGACCTACCTTTTTATCTGACACGGGGGATGCCCAGACAAAATTTGATAAAGCTAAATACAAGGGAACTCTTGAAAGAGAAAGGTAAAGGTTAAAAAATTGGTCCAGTCCCTGAAACCCCCAAAAAGTTTCACAGATATAAAATCTTCTTAGAAGCTCTTGATAATTTCAGAAGAGTCAAAGTAGAGGAGAAAGAAACACTACCTATGCATTCAAAAATCTCTGTGTTCTAGGCAAAAGCGGTTGACCACTTTAAAAATGTTATTAGCTGAAAGTCTTCCTCTTTTCCTCAGTGGACCTCAGAGCCTTATGAGAGTATAGACGCGTCCAATTCCAACGCTGCAGTGACTGTGAGAGAGGGCGCCCAGTCGAGCGATCAAGGCTTCAGCCAAGGATTGGACAAGACCCAGGAGGAATCTGCATCTGCCTCAACAGCTCCAGAGCCAACTGATCAAAAGACCATCAGAGAAGGACTTACAGAGGAACTATAGAGAAAGCAGAAAGGACTGTATGGAGAGGAAAACACAGAGAAAAGGAAGGTTGTACGCAAGAGAGAGAGAGGGAGCACCCATGCACAAACCTGCCTTCTCCCTTTATCCTCAGCATGTGGTCTCGTCTTGTTTGAATGTAAAGTCAGAAAAAAAGTGATCTTTGATTTGGTTGATGAAATAAATACATTTTTGAATGAAAAAGGGTCACTGTGATCATTTGAATATTTTATACTTTCACCAAGTTTCTACTTTTTGCATACTGATCATCAAGGCAGAAAAAAAAAACAAAGTTTCACATCACTTAATGGAGTATTTATGGTCTAAAGAGTTGGTTTAGAAGGATACAAAGGCTTCTGCACTGCAAGTTTTTTTTTTTCTAGGAAAATTCCTGTTGTTCTTTTAAGCATTTTGTATAATAGCCTGCTATGCAGCAGCATGCCATGTTCCAACATCCATTATCACTTCTAATCCTCCGGGACTTGTTGATGTAATGTAGTGTTTCTAATACAGCTTGATGGGAGGGAGGTCTGAAATGAAAAGCTTTCATATGGCTGAGGATTACACTTGACATTTTTCTCCTATATCAATTTTAATATTATAACAGATTTTACATAACTGCAATACGCAAACAGCGCCATAGATATTAAGGAGAAACGATTTTCAGAGAGCAATTCTATCCTCAGAGCTTTCTGCTGTTGTGCTGGAAGTAGTTCCTATGTTAGAGGTCTTTTGATATCAAAAGGAAAATTTTTTGCTTTCTTTCCTTGTTTTTTTTTAATCTTCATACATACTGTGCTTGGTACATTTCTTAAAATCCCAGGTGAATTTGTTAAAAGCTATTGAAAGAAGAAGAGGCCCACAGCATTACAGATTCTTCTTTATATAAAACAATAGGAAATAGGGAATTTTCCATAATTCGTCTTTTCACATCAGGCTGACCCAGAGTGTTGCCAAAACCTCTTTTGACCAAAACATGTTTATGCTTCTGAAGAAAGATCAGAAAAGGCATTCCTTCTTTCAAAGAGTTTGAAAATGCAATACAAGCACCAGAATAATCAAAGCGAACATGTTTTGCCGACGGGTTTCAACATTTTGAGTTAATTTAGGCATTAATAATCCTTTTCAGAGGAGTGATCATAGCGATCTGCATCAGCAGTGCCGTGTCTCTCTCCCTCCAGCTCCCAGATTAGCCTCTGATTGGTTGATGTGGCACGTAGAGCAGAAAAAGTTAAATTTTTCCAACTCCAGCAGCTTCTGCATGTGAAGTGTCAGGTGCTCATGAGACGCTGCTTCGGATGCATCAAGATGCGCCGCTCCTGCTGCTCAAGACATGCTGCAGGACCTTTTAAAGCGTGTCATCCATTGACTTTGCATGTAAAACAGCTGCTTTAATCACCTATGGTGTGAACGTAGCATTAGAGTCATAGCATCAATTTAATCTCTTTCGGTAAGTAGGTAGCATACCCCCCAGTTGCCAGAGCGACCAGTGCTAATGCTAACCTTGGTTTACTTCCAGTATCAACAATAAAAAACCAACACAACAACATTTGGCAAAAATCTATGAATAAAGTCTTTATTGTAAGTTGTTACATTTAGATTTCTCTCTAGCAGCACTATTCAAATTACAGATATTCAAGGGCAGTAACCATAAACTGTAGTTCTCTCTTAATGCAAGATGTCATCATGTAAACAAAGACAGACACAGAAGATAAGTAGAATAAAATGTACCACAACATGGGCAAGCTGCTAATGTGACGATAACTCATTTAAGGTCCAAGGACGACTTTTCGTGTCTTTTGAGATAAAATGTGACTGGTCCAGCACAAAAATAAAGACAGTGTACAGCATCGCGTTACAGTTTTCGTTGGAAATGATGTGATCATTTGCCGCCCTTATAAGGCATGTTTGCAAAATGTATATCACCGCTTTACAGAGGTTGGTTGTGGGATGGTTTAGAGAAATGGAAGGAAGTTGTGACAGTGACATAAAGGGGACATGAAACTGGATCATTTTTAGTGCAACAGAACGTGATTAAACATTCCAAGCATTTCTTTGACCTCTTTACACTAAATCCAAAGACACGTTATAAATATGGCACAAAATATCCACCAGAAGTCTGTTGTACTTTGGATAGAGACACCGACCACAAAATCTCAATTTGTTTCCCACCTTTTTTTTTGTATTCAAACTATATTTTCTACGTTTTTTGAAGAACATTTTTAATATTGCAAAAGTGCTCATTTAAAGTTGGGTCAAGCTAGCAGCTAGTTAGTTTAGCTCAATATTTTCTGTCAAAGGAAAAACTTTTTAACCATGAATAAAAACTTTTGTTGGATAGTGAGTTATTGCCCAAATTGAAAAGGACTAAAAGTTGGAACCTATAAATGCAGAGTTTAAAATTAGCTATGTAGCGTTGGGACTAGCAAACTGCTGCTAGCTTAACTTTTAAGGGAAGAAATCTAAATCGAATATTGATTTGCTTCCTTATCTCAATAACATTTCAACACCAGTCTCTCTTACAATAGCTTTAACAGTAAATGTCTTTATCTAGATGTCTACCCAAGACATGAGTGCAAATGATACCCAAACTGCACCATCATGCACAAATGGCCAATGCTAACCCAATTTAGAAGAACATCTAAATTCTGCAAACAGTGATTTTTACTGTGTCCACACATATTTTTATGTCTGTAAGATGGTGGTAAATGAGTGTTTCATGCTACAGTTTGAAACATTTCCTCCCAGTACATCTGAAAGTCATGATGAAAAGCAATCAAATTTCAGAGAAACAAACCCCAGACTAGTAAGAGCACAATGCTTTAAGATTTTATCACCATGACTCAAATCTTCGATGCATAGAGGCATTAAAACATTTTAAAATCTTACTTCTGAAAGATAAGCAAATTAATGTCCGTGTCTACCTCCTCCAGTTTTACCTTGTCAATATATACAGTTGTGTTCAAAATAATCGCAGGCCAACACTGCAAACAAGATCGATACTTATTTTTTGGTAGAGATTATATTTCTCTTCAAAATGCATGCTCCTGACTCTTTCAATTGAACCACTGTTTGGAAGGGCTAATATAAATGGGTTCTTCCAGAAATCGATTAAGATGTTTTACTAGAGAGGTGAGAATGTATATTTATCTGTTAAGATAATCTCAAACACTTTAGATGGAAATATACCTAAGAGATGTCTTAGAAAATTAAAATAATCTAGAGTTAATTTGGATTGAAGAACAGACAGAATGGCTGAATCTCCTTTGCCTGAACAAATCATTGGCTGAAATTGCCATTTTGGCTGTTCTTCAATCAATCTAGTTTATTTTGTTTTCTACCACATCTTTTGACTGTGCTATAAAACCCAAAAGATGTGATAGAAAATGAAAATAAACTTGCCAATATGGCAATTTTAGCCAATGTTCAGGAAAAGCAAATGGTAATACGCTTAGGAATGATGAAAGCCTTATGACAATGTGTTTGTCAGATGTCCACCTAACTTTGAAAAGCGAGCCACAGCGTAAAGAAGCTCATTATTGGGATGTCTGTCAGGCCATGGTGTGAGGCCTATCCATCTAAGACAAAGAATAATGAAAAAGGTAAAATACATCAAGACACTAACAGCTTATGCTGCTTTACGTTAATGAGGGAATTGGCTGAATGGAGCCTCAACAAGACATAACCCCAAATAGAACAATAAATGAACTGCATTTTAGGTTCAACCCAATAGGAATTTTATGCCCTGGTCAGCGAAATCCCTAGGCCAGGGGTCACCAAGCATTTTTAGGCAGAGGGCTACTTCATGGGTACTGAGAACGTCTACCAATACTGACCAAGGAACTGGAGGGATCAGCGTTCGCCTTAACTTCATACAAAATAAACCTATTTATATTTTTAGGAGGAAGGAAGGAAGGAAGGAAGGAAGGAAGGAAGTGCAACAGAATAAAATCACAGTCACAAAGTCACAACGTTGGTGACCTCGGCCCTACACCAAAATTCAATAGAAACAAACATCTTGTTTCTGAGGGGAAAAAAAAAAATAGAAAGAAAATGGGAAAAGCGTTAACTTCATTCACCACATATGTGTATTATATGACAATAAATTTAGTGAACTATTTTTCAGTTAATATTGTAAAGTGCATTTTGGTGTGTAGGCATAACATTAATTATAAAGATTTTAAGATCTCACTTTTTAGATTCAAAAAATATTTTGAACACAACTGTAAGTTACCATAAAGATGCACATTTTCTACCTTTGCAGCGACAAAGCTTTTAGAATCTCATTAAGTGTACAATAACCTGGGTAAGTCATGAAAACGTGACACAGAAATCTTGATCAAACATCACTGTCATGAAAGCTTTTTGAATCATGCACATTGGAACAGCAAATGACAGTAGATTGTTTAAAACAATGAGGGTCATTTAGTCATTCTGGCAATCCATGAAACACTCAAAACTACAATTAAGTATCCATAACTGTCTCTATTAGTCAAACATACTAGAAGAAAAATATGAACCTCTTAAAAGAGTTTCTCATATTTTGAAATGTCTGCATACTGCAGTACTGGAATACATACTCATACAGTATCGTTTATAGCAAATAACTGAATTATTTCATTTATTTAGCACAAAGCATGCTGAATAGAAAAAAGTGTCACTTTAAATAGTCTAAAGTAACTATTTTTTTTTATATTTCTCGCAGTTCGTTTTTCACCGACTGCATCTATCTACAAAGGCATGACAAAAAGCAAGAATTTTAGGCATCTAAATCAATAAAGAGAAAGGTGATTGCCTAAAACTGTTCATCGCCAACTTCAAGGAGTACCTGCACAAACATATTCTCTCTCCTAAAAAAGCACAAACGCCTCAGGAAGAGGCACAAAAGAGACTGTATGAGGGTATTGGTAATACAGGATGCATGAGGAACACGGTATCAGTTTCATTTTTGCTGTTAAAAAGGATCATTTCTGCTTTCCGGTTTTCAATGATGTCATCTATGACGTGACATGCCACGAAAATCAAAGTGAGGTCCCGAGACACACAAGAAGTGAGACAGACCCAAAAGTGAGAGAGAAAGAGGTCTTGAGGTCTGTTATAAAGCATAAAGAGGCACTATTCTGAACTGAGGGAAACCCAAACCACAAATAGTCAACAAGCTTGATCTTTGCCACCG